CAATATCTCCTAAAATGGATTTGACCTGACTCATTCCATAAGCTCTCAGGACTTGTGCCATCCCTAATAAACAAATACCATAAACGAACTGTAGCCCGGATGGGTAAACTATCCCACAAATCGTTTGGATGATACACCGAACACGTCGTTAAGCTCTCTTTTATGATTATTAGGGATAACCCATCTCCCATATCCCATATCTCAAGAGTAACCCGTAGGCCCTCTGTACTCATCCTACAAGACAACTCGAGTTAACTTAGAAGACCTGCTGAAGGATTTGTCTAATAAGGCAACTGAATCGGTGCCATGACAAGTTTGGACTCACTCAATAAGGCTTCTGAACTTATCTCATAAGAGGTCCCACAATATCTCCTAGACCTTCGAATTCATGTCTCACAAGGCATCTCGACTTGGTTTGTGCCTAGGAGACTTTTGGATTTTCCAATTGGTTTTCCAGACTTTCCCCACACGATTCATTTTGGATTTTGGGACCACTGAATTCAACCCACAGAACCTCAGAACTTGTCCCATACGGCCTCTGGTTTGGTATGATAAGGCATCTGGATTTAAGGAATTTCAGGACTCATCGCACAAGACATCTCCGGACTTGTTTGCCTTCAAAAGACCCTGTTCCGTAAGATCAAAAACTTTACAAATCAATAACAAAAAAACCAAATCAAATTGGCCTTACAAGGCGACAGAAATTGTCCTATAATGCCTCTGGACTAGAAATGCCTAGGTGGTTTCTAGCAGCACTGCCAGTGTAATCAAGATAGGCGGTACTCGATTGGCTCTGGCTTTGACAGTTCGTTTGGCTCAAAACCAGCCAGTCCGCTCATCTCTTATACTAGACCCTCTCTTCTCTGGACTGGACTCATTTAAAGTTATTTCAATGAGGTAAATTTGTTCTAAAAGACCTCCTTTATATGACTGTCCCATTAGCAGTCATTTCGATCAGAAGTGCCGTTTCGTGCTACAATATTTTGGAAAATTTCTAAGACGCCATTTTGAAAATTTTACATGATTTAAATGGCCGAATTTTAACAAAAAAGTGTATAGGCAACAAACAATTACGCAAAGTTTCATGCAAATCAGAGAAGATCGAGTTTTTCCGATTCGTAATTTAGCGTGGAATTGTGCTCCCATAAGGCCGCTGGACTTGTCCTACAAGAAATTCGAATGCATCTCCTGCCTTGTGAAGCCTCCAAGCCCTTTCCCAACTTGGCTGCTGGACTTATCGTACCTCTTAGAATTTGTCTGTGAGACTTCCGAGTACGTCCCACAAGACGTCAGAACTTGCCCCATAAGAGGTTCGTTTAACATGACGACTCAACGGCTGGCCCGCCTCCGGCTTTGTCTGTCAAATTTGAATCACAAAGCGGCGTGCTTTTGTGCTAAGGCTTGTTCCATAAGGCTTCCGGAGTTATCTTAAAAGGCTCCTTCAGACGCCTGGACTTGTCCTACAAGACCTCCCGAATTGCGCCGTAAGATCTCTGAACTTGTCCCAGAAGACCATTGGAGTCTTTGTAAAGCGACAGAATCGAAGTTTGCATCTGAATTCATCTGATAAGGCCTCTGGATTTCTACTAAAAGAGAACCTAGGTTAGACGTGTACCAATTTGAATTGGCTGCTTGTTTAAGACCTCTGAACTTGTCCTGAAGGTCCAAGGATTTGTGCCGTCAAACCTTTGCACTTGTCCCCATACGACATACTTATAAGGAAACAGAAATTTCCCTATAAAGCCACTGGACTCATTTAATAAGGCATCTGAACTTACCTCATTAGCATTGCTCAAATGGACTCCGAGTCTGGACTTGTACCACAGAATTTGTTCTAAAAGACCGTTGAATTGCATTCCTCAAATGGACTCCGAGTCTGGACTTGTACCACAAAATTTGTTCTACAAGACCGTTGAATTGGCCATCTCATTAGGATTATTGATTTGTTCTAACAGAGCTCCTAAAATGGGCTCGGATTCTTTAATACATCAAGATTTGTTTCACAAAACCCCCCAATGAAACGTCTCTGGGCTTGTTTGTCCCATGAGCCATCGGGACATGTCCTACACGACCCCTGAATCCATTCCGCAAGACAGCTCAACTTGTCAAGCAAGACCTTTTGATTTATCTTCATACGGGTGTTCTGGAGTTGGATTCACCTTCGGGAGCCTCTGACTTTGTCCCAAAAGACTGAATTTACACTCGGAGACTTCCGAATGCGTTCCACAAGACATCGGAACTTGCCCATAAGACCTTTAGACTTGTTCACAAGAGCCTCTGGGTTCATTTACGAAGGTCTCTATTCTAAATTGAACTCTGCGTCTGGATTTTTTCCGTAGAAGGGTTCTGGGCTTGTGCCATGATTCATCGCCCTTTGTCCTATAAGACCAACAGACATCGCCTACAATAACTTCGAATTCATCGCACAAGAGCTTATTCGATCGATTATCATCATCTCCGGATGTGTCTAAGAAGGCCTTACACTGGACTTCAGAATTCATTCCACAAGACCTCCTAATTTGTCAAATAAAACCTCTGATTTCGTCTGATAAGGTTTTCGAATTTCGACTCTTAAATCTGATGTTTTTCTTTTAAGACTTGTTCCATAAGACATCCGGATGTATCTCAAAAGAGGCTTCAGAACTTATCCCACAACACAAAGTTTTGTTGAACTCCATAAGACCCCATGGACCTGTCCAACAAGACCTCTGAATTCATCCAACTAATGCTCAGGATCTGCACCGTAAGGTCTCTGATGATTTTGTCCCGAAAGACCTGGTCTGATTTAATATGGTATCCTTCTGTATTGGACTCTGAGTCTAAACTTGTACCATAAAAGGTATCTAGGCTTGCTCTGTCATGCGAAGCCTACGGACTTGTACGACAAGAACTCATCCATTCATCCATCTCGATTTACTGTCTGACCCATCGGAACCTCCAATAAGGCTTCTAAACTTATCAAAGAGCTTTTCATCATCTCTAACAGTGTTGGAAAAGTTCGCGATATTTCACGAAGTTCACCAAGGGAAAAGTTGGCGAGTCATAGTGAGTTTTCGCGAACTTTTCCATCACTGATCTCCAGATATGTCTTGTACTGTCACTTGACTTGTCCTGCAAGACCTAATTTGGATTTGTTCTGGACTTGATAATTGGACTTCGCCTGACAGAACCTATGAGCTTGTTCTACTAGAATTTGAAGTTGGACTCCGGACTTGTCTCATAACGCCTCTGTTTTCGTCTGAAGAGGTCTCTGGATTTCGACTCTGATGTTTTTCTTTTAAGGCTTGTTCCATAAGACCTCCGGATGTATCTCAAAAGAGGCTTCAGAACTTATCCCACAACACAAAGTTTTGTTTAACTCCATAAGACCCCATGGACTTGTCCAACAAGACCTCTGAATTCATCCAACTGTAGCTCAGGACTTGCACCGTAAGGTCTCTGATGATTTTATCCCACAAGACCTGGTCTGATTTAATATGGTTTCCTTCTATATCGGAGACTTAGTCTAAACTTGTACCATAAAAGGTCACAAGGCTTGCTCTGTCATACGACGCCTATGGACTTGTACGACAAGAACTCATCCATTCATCCATCTCGATTTACTGTCTGACCCCCTAACCTCCAATAAGGCTTATGAACATATCAAAGAGCTTTACATCATCTCCAGATATGTCTTATAAGGTCACTGGACTTGTCCTGCAAGACCTAATTTGGATTCGACGACTTCTCCATGGCCTCTTGGCTTGTCCAATAAAATCTTTAGACTTGTTCTGAACTTGATAATTGGATTTCGCCTGACAGAACCTATGAGCTTGTTCTACTAGAATTTGAAGGTGGACTCCGGACTTGTCCCATAACGCCAATGGTTTCGTCTGATGAGGTCTCTGAATTTCGACTCTGAGGTTTTTTTTCTTTTATAGCTTGTTCCATATGTATCTCAAAAGAGGCTTCAGAACATATCCCACAAATAAAAGTTTTGTTGAACTCATGGACTTGTCCAACAAAACCTCTGAATTCATCCAAATATAGCTCAAGTCTCTGATGATTTTATCCCAGAAGACCTGGTCTGATTTAATATGGTATCCTTCTATATCTGAGACTTAGTATAAACTTGTACCATAAAAGGTCACAAGGCTTACTCTGTCATACGAAGCCTATGGACTTGTACAAGAACTCATCCATTCATCCATCTCGATTAATCGTCTGACTCCTCTGACCTCGAATAAGGCTGCTGAACTTATCCAAGAGCTTTTCATCATCTCCAGATATGTCTTGTAAGGTCACTTGACTTGTCCTGCAAAACCTATTTGGACTCGACGACCTACATGGCCTCATGGCTTGTCCAATAAGATCTTTAGACTTGTTCTTGACTGGATAGTTGGACTCCGGACTAGTCCCGTAAGCATCCTAATAAGCCTTCTTAATTTGAATTAATTTAAAAAACAATCGCCAGTAGGTCTGTAAACCTGTCGCTTAAGTCGAAGTCCCGGCCGGCCTTCCATAAAAGGGCTTGTGACATCTTTATCCTATGAGGTCTATGGACTTGCCCGATACGAACAGCGAATGAATTCCACTCGATTTGCCTTCATATTTGATAGCATGTCCTATGAGGCCACAGGACCTGTGCTGCCTAATTTGGATTCGGAGACTTCCGAACTCGCCGTGCGAGACCACATAAGACCTTTAGGTGACAACCCAAGACTTCAGATTTTGTCTGATAAGGCATCTGAGCTTTTTCATAAAGGACTCTGCGCTTGTCTCATAGAACCTCTGAATTTGTTTAGTAAGGGCTTCGGACCTCTAGACCTATTCTGCGAGTCGTGTGACTGTCCATTTGAATTGCACGGATAGTCACCTTACGCGACTTGAGTTCTGAAACCTCACTAGTTACACGACTCGAAGAATATGGGAGATGGGGCTCTTGATTTGAACCCGGACTGCTAGGTAGATTTACCATGTGAAGTCTCTGGTCATGTCTACGGACTTGATTTGAGCTTCCGAATTGGTCCCATAAACCCCCTTATTCTGCGCTGCGAGTGAGGTTAGGTGACTCGCTGTCACAAGTGAGGAGACAAAAGTCACCACGAGTGAGGTGACTCTCCGTGCAAATCAAATAGAGAGTCACCTCACTCGCGGTGACTTTTGTCACCTCACCTCACTCGAGGCGCAGAATAGGCCTCAGAGGCCTATAATTTTGTCCAACAAAACCTGGGATTTTTTTCTTCGATCAGCTATAACAGATCGATTTGAATGGAATGAGAAATGACGACGTTATTGTTCAAATCTGGAGTCTCTTGGAATAAGCCTGAAGGACATCTAGAACTTGTTTTCTAAAGTCTTTGGATTGGAGCTCGAAGCTTAATTTCCATGCTCCGACTCTGTGACTCTCTGGACCACGACGACTTCTGCGTATAGCAAAGGAAACTCAGACCCTTAGCCTGACAGGTAAGGTAAGGAGTTGAACCTACAAAATCATTCCAACCAGGCAAAGGCCTCTGTAATTTGGGGAGTTCAATTCTGAAAGTCCCAGCTTTTCTAACTAGGGAAACCTCTTTCTGGGGTTTTCGGAGACGAACCAACCCACGGATGAAAGTCTCTTTAATAAAGAAATCTAATCTAATCTACGAAGCCTCCACAAGGACTTTGAACCGAAGTTTGTTGTGTGCTCAAGACTCGCAAGATCGTCAACTTATGTGTGAAATTCTTCTGAAGCTGTGAGAACCAGAATGCGTCTTTACCGATCAAGGTTTGAATTGCCTCTGGATTTGTCTTTTCAAGCGTTTGAGCATGTTCCATTAGGGCCTCTGAACAGTTCTCAATATCCCATAAGACTTCGGGGTTTTCTCCCACAGGCCTTTTGCCTTTGGACTAGTTCGTTGTCCAAAAGCACATAAAGCCTCTGAAACGCTGAAGTCCGTCTGGAGCGACCCTTTCGAATGGAATGAGGAATAGTGAAGTTTCAAGGCCAAACCTGGAATGTCCCGGAAGACACATGTGAAAGACTTTTCCGAGTTCTGAAAAATCTTATAATTGAAGTCCGGATTTGGGATTGAAAATAGGTGTAGGGCCATTAGGCCGAATAGGCCGAATTTAGAAAATTCAAAGTTTAGTTTTTCCATAATTCTTAAGATCTCTGACTTGTAAAATTTTCGTAGATTCTGGAACTTAGATAAATTTGAAGATCATGGGCGTAGACAAATGTTTTAAGAAGTAGGCCATATGAAAACCGTTTAGTTGAGGATTTTTTGGGCAATGATTTTTCCAAGAGCATTTCTGCTTCTTTGAAACATGAGCAGTTCGTTAGAAATCCAAACAACCAGAAAATCGAGATTCTTCTGAAGCTGTGAGAACCAGAATGCGCCTTTACCGATCAAGGTTTGAATTTCCTCTGGATTTGTCTTTTAAAAGCGTTTGAACATGTTCCATTAGGGCCTCTGAGCAGTTCTCAATATCCCATAAGACTTCGGGGTTTTCTCCCACAGGCCTTTGCCTTTGGACTAGTTCGTTGCCCTACAAGAGTTCCAAAAGCGTCCCACTGCTGCATAAAGCCTCTGAAACGCTGAAGTCCATCTGGAGCGACCCTTTCGAATGGGTTGAGGAATAGTTTAGTTTCAAGGCCAAACCTGGAATGTTCCGGAAGACACCTGAAAGACTTTTCCGAGTTCTGAAAAATCTTATAATTGAAGTCCGGATTTGGGATTGAAAATAGTTGTAGGGCCATCAGGCCGAATAGATCATTAGGCCGAATTTAAAAAGTTTTAAAGTTTGGTCAAGATTTTCGATAATTCTTAAGATATCTGACTTGTAAAATTTTCGTAGATTCTGGAACTTTGGTAAATTTGAAGATCATGGACGTAGACAATGTAAGCCATATGAAAACCGTTTAGTGGAGGATTTTTTCGGGTTAAAATTTACTGCAGCTGAATTTTCCATCTATGAAATATGGGCCATTAGGGTGCCAATAAAATAGATGGGAAAAAGAAACCATCGAATTTTTTAAATGACCCACATACCAAATGTCCATTGCCTCGAAAAAAGACCCTATGCAAAGTTGGGCTCAATTAGACATGTGGGGAGTTTCGTTTTAAAAAAACAATTTCAGGCATTTTTTGTGATGGTTGATCCAATTTTGGCAGCCCCTCAGACTATTATCAGTCAATAATTTCACATAACCGTAGTTCCATTCCTTTCTCATTCATCTTCAAGATGGATGTTTAAGGTATACTTTAGACCAATAGAAACACTAACAAAGCGCATGGGTTTCATAGAACAGTAGAAAAGATTTCCATTTCGACCTGATGGCATTCGGCAAATGGAGAACACCTTTCAAAACACATCTGAAATAACCCTTACAACACTTCCGCAATGCAATCTACAAAGCCTCTAGAACGAAACCTGTAGATTTGCTGTGAGTGTAAGTCGCCGAAAAAGTCGGATGATCATCAACACAAGTCCTTGTGAAGTTGTTCCAAACAGCAGAGTTGAAAACCTGAAAGACGCCTGATCCTTTTAATCATAGTCGGGAAGCACAAAGTCCCAACTACTTTGGAAGGATTGTGAAAATACCTCCTCCGGTGAAAGGGAGTCCAATATATTAGATCACCTCTGAATCATACTGAACCACAACCATTCACTGTAGCAAGACAACTGTCAGTAGACTCTATGGACTGTCCTCGCTGTTCAACTTGATCAAGTTTAATAACCTCTGATTGTACTCAACCTGCCATTGTGGGGTTGATTACGGATGTCACTTCACGGTGAAAACTTGTCACTTGTCGTCGCGGTGAAGTCATTTCCATTTGATTTGTACGGTAATCACGGCTCTTATTCTGAGTATCACTTCATTATCACCGTGTAGTGACACTCGTAATAAGGCCCTGTATGAAGGGTCAAAAACGTTGGGCAAGATCGCCCACAAGCCATCCAATCGGAGGATGCCCCAACGAGTAGGGAGAACGGCCCACCCTCTATTCACGAAATTATAAAGATGAGGAGGTTCTCTCCATCCATTCCGCTTCAATTGGGTGCCCTGGTGGACCCTAATCATACTGAACCTGGAGTGATGCCTTAAATCGCTTAGCATACTGCAAGGCTTTAAAGAAGTTGACAAAGCGGTAGCAAGTCGTAAGTATCTGACTAAAGATCAGATAGTTGATGGGTGTACCAACTACAAAATTCTCTTGACAACTAGCCAGTAGATGTGTATCCAAGTGGTTCATTTTCTCCACAGAAGATCCAGCTGTGTAGATATCTCTTTTGAAAGAATCAGGCGTTCATTTTTAGTAATGTTAATACGATCAAAATTTAACTCTAAATCAAATAAAAAACCTTTAGAGTGTAAGCTAACATATAAGCAAAAAGAACGCAGCTATAATCAAGATGGGCAAGAAAGAGAAATTAGTCAACGTCACTGTCACTGTCTTCTGCTGACGCATCGAAAGAAGGCGAACCGAGATGGTTTCCGCTGACGAAGGGAAAGAAGAAAACGAAGAGGAACAGAACAGTCTTGATTTGGTGGCTCAACGTGGTGGCAGTGAAAGTCGTCGGTTCGCGGTGAAAATTTGTATGGCCCGCAGTGAAAGTGCAGTGCAGTAACAGACCACCAACGTAGGCCTGCATCGAAAACCAACGGGCGGCGTCCGCTTGCAGGGATCCGGCAGATCGGCGGAGCCACATTAATCCGATTGAAAATAGAAAGTCTGTTGAGAACGGGTTATTTCACTGCAGTTCCCGAGCAACAGCAGAGCCACGTCACCGCATCAACCCGATAGCAGACGAAAATTTGGAGCACCGCAAGGGCGAGTTGGCGAAAAGGTAACCAAAAATGGCACAAATTAAGTGGCTTTGATTGACCAATAAACCAATATTTCTACAGCGAGGACTGGCACGACATACACAAGGCCCCATCGTTTGGTTCCCGACAAAGGAAGCCCTCAACAAGAGGCCGCAGAAGGCGTCAACGGCGTTGGCGGCCTAGTAGCGGCGATGGTAACCAGCATTTCCATAACTCGTGTTTACTCCTGTGTCTTCGTGAGGGCCACATCAGTGTCGCCGCAATCCTGATTGACGTCTGGATCCGGTGAGCCAATTTGATGCCGCTTGCTGGCGTTGCATGTAGAAGAAAGAAGCGGATGCAGGCGTAGCCATGAGTCAGGAAAAATTCATAAGTGTTATGTTTAAGGATGAGGCTTGGCAGGTCAAGTTAGTAGGGCCTTAGTAGCAAAAGGTACCATGTTATCCGGTCTGACATAAACACACTTCACACTGGAAACTTTTGCCTCTTTATTCATTATTTTGGTAGGAAAACGCAATACCAGGTCAAAGTCGAAATTTGATCTAAGCACCTTCTTGTACACCAACTGATGCTTCACTCCTTCCAGAGGCGTTCCGGCGCTTCTAGAGCTCATATAGATCCAAATCCTAAGGCATTCTAACAGTCTCCTGCACCATAGAACGTTGTGAGGGAGCTTCTGGTTTGATTTTAGATGCTTCAATTACCTTGGACCACCCGAGAGGAGCAATTGCTAATTAGAGTCACGGGAGTGAACATCGGTTCGCCAAAAACTACACACTTCCTAAAGTTTAGTTTATGTATTTAGATCCAACTGGAAATCATCCTCTCTTCAGACGACCTTCCTTGATAAACATGTCTTCTTAGATAATCCGAGGGTCTTTGAAGCGAGTCCAGAGGCGTTCCTGAGTTTCTCGAAGGCCGATGAAAAACGGTCCCATAAATCCAAATCTAATCACTGGACCCTGAAGCGACATAGATTTGAGCACAGATGATTCAAAAAAACCTCGGTCTAGTAGGGCTGATGCGAACTGAAAAATAAATCGACCATCATTTCAAATGAAACAAATTACGGAAAAACCATCCCATTTGTAAGCTTCAAAACAGCGCTGAAGTTTTATTAAATACCATAATGACGCCTCATCCACCTTTCTCCCTGAATTCGCTGACAGCGCAAAAGCACTCCCACATTTCAATACACAAAGTTGACGTAAAACCTATGATCCAAAACAAACGAAAAACGGAATAAATATGTAAGCATATTGAACAAAGCAAATGCATCGAGTTTCATATTTAAAAATAAAAAAAAAATAAAAACGATAAACTGCATCACACACACATTTACAATAGCAGGAAAAAAATATCACTTTTCACGGCTTCTTCTATCCGGAGAATTTGACCACCCACCATTCTTCCCTCCTCCAGAACTAAGATCCGTTTGACGTTTCGTAAAATTCAATACTAACGTTTGCTCTTCCTACTGTTTGTTTGATGGTTGGGGTTGGGGTTGGTGTTGGTGTTGATCGCTCACACTGAGAGAGTTTATCATTTTCTTTTGCTGTGTTATCTTGCTTATAGAATAGTACCTCGCGCTTTCTCTAATCTCTATTATCGACAATATTTACACACTCACACACAAGTGCTTTTGTGGTTTGAATTTTTGTTTGCCGGTTTCACTATTTGTTTTATTTAGTTTTGAGGGTTCTGTTTCACACTTCGGAGAAACATTCTGGGCACACTGAGACGAATGTTCACCGTGCATTTGAAGAGTTTTTCGATTTTTTTTGCGTAGTTTTTCACGATTTATCTTTTTATTAAAAATTCTAACCTAACCTAAGAGATAGGCGACGACTATCGTCCCCTTTCCCCGTCCCTTTTGAAGACGACCGATTCAGGCCGATATACACCGCTATCAACATTCACTATTTACTCTACCTATTATTATGATAGGCTTCTTCCTGCTGCTGGGAACAAAATCCGACACAGAGTGGGCGGGACATAAATGAAGTCCAAATAAATACTTGTTTCGCGGTCGCCAATACCCAAAGTTGCTTTGCTGCTTAAATTAAGCATACTTTTCCACAGTAGTGGGAATCGTAGACTATATTTTAACTTAATCTTCCTTGGGTTTTAGAGGGATATTTACATTAACTTTTTATACATCTTAGCGTTCAAACGAAAAAAAAAACGTCGGTTTGATTTTGTTTGCTTACATCCAATTGTGTTGATTGTATGTCTGTGTGGTGTTGCTGTTGTTGTCAGTGTGTGTGTGTATGTGTGTGTGTGTGGTAGAAGGTAATAAGGCTGCGGTCGAGCTACTAACGCTCCTGTTGCTGCTAGTACATATGATACTACTACAACTGCTCGACGAATTTGGTAAGCTGATCCTGTGCGGTCAGTGGACTGGTATCGTTGGGGCCACCGGGACCGGCTCCACCCGGACCGCCACCCATTTGGTTTGGATCGCCTGGGCCACCGGCACCTCCACCGGGCCCAACGCCGACCGGCGACTGGTGCGGGTGCATGTGGTTGTGCATTTCACCACCGGGACCGGCCGGCGCTGGCGAATGGGAAGGCAAATGGTGCGGTGAGGGTTGCGCCCGGGGCGATGCCGAGGGTTGTGCCCGTGGCGATGGAACGGCCCGCGGAGACGGCTGCGGTTGAGGAGATCGAATCGGAGGTGGTGACCGTACGGTTTGCATCAGTTGCTGTTGCATCGTGTGCTGCGGCGTGGGAGGACCCATCACTTGGCCACCGGGACCCTGCTGGAGCTGTTGGGAGAGAACGTTAACGCCCACTCCACCACCCTGCTGGCCGGGGTTTGGCTTCAGTCCTTGCTGCATGTACTGCTGCTGATCGGGGAACATGCCTCCCTGGCCGTATCCTCCGACTCCCATCTGCTGCTGTGGTCGAGGTCGTTGCTGGTACGGGGGAGCCGGTTGCATGTTGCCACCGCCCACCATGGCCAACTGTCGCTGCAGCATCATCTGCTGTTGCTGTTGTTGCTGCTGCTGTTGTTGTTTGTACCACATTTGTTGTTGAATCTGTGGGCAGACGGGTGGAATAATCCGTTACCCAAATTGTCTACCGAACAAGTGTCGTCGAAAAGAGCGAAACTACATACTTGGCTGGTACTTACCGGTAGCTGCATCTGCGGGTTGCCTCCTCCCGGCTTACCACCGCCGGCCATGCCCTGGACACCGCCCTGCATGCGATTCGGTCCCATCGGGCCACCGGCTGCGGCCGGATTGTACGGCATTCCACCGGGTCCTTGACCAGGGACACCTTGCTGCTGACCCTGAACGCCTCCGGCACCCGCATGCTGCATCACGTTGTGAGGTTGCTGCTGTTGTTGCTGTTGCTGCTGCTGTTGGGGCATTCCACCCTGGTTCTGGTTCTGTTGGTTTTGGGCCTGCAAGGTTACATGGTTTTCAATTTCAGACAAAAACAAAAGCAAACACCGTCCGGTCTAATTCTACAGGTTCTATATTTTTGAACACTTTCGTCCTAGTAATAGTGTTGATACTCGTTTTTAATAACTCTACAGTTGGATCTTACCATTTGCTGCCGCTGCTTGATGAACGCCGCCATCAGCTGCGGATTGGCCTTCAGTATCGACAGCAGCTGCTGCTGTTGTTCCGGTCCGGCCTGGGGATTCTTGAGCGTTGCCATGAGTTGAGCGATCGCCGCCTTCGGTTGATTCGTCGGAAGTTGCGACGGTTGTCCCTGCTGTTGACCCACCTGCTGCGGATTGGCAACCATTCCACCAGGTCCCTGTATGCACACGCCACCCGGTCCGGGTCGCATTCCACCCATCATCTGATTGCTACCCACGCCGGCACCCATCATGCCCTGCTTAAAAAAAAAAACATTCAATCAGAACCACTCAAACATCGACAACCACCATCCATTCAAAAAACTTACGCCCTGCATCGGATTCGGTTGCTGCGGCTGCTGTTGGCCCTGCATCATACCGGGCAGATTCGGTCGCATGCCAGGTGAATTCTGCTGCCCACCGGCATTCGGATACCGCGGATTGCCCCACTGATCCATCTGGGCCATCACGTTCTGTCCACCGGCACCGACCACCGGACCACCGGCTCCCATCGGAACACCTCCGACGACGCCCGGTTGCTGCTGATTGGGGCCACCCATTCCGGCGACACCACCCACGCCACTGACTCCACCCATGTGACCACCGGCGGCCATCGCCCGTTGCATCACCGGCGGTGGCATTTGACTTCCACCCGGGTTCACCTTGCCGAAACTGCCGTGGGGTGCCTGCTGCCGCGCCGCCTCCTCCTGAACCTAAACGAACAACAACAACAATTCCAATATCAATCCTCCATTCTATTCCGATCGCGTCACAATCACAACGTACCTGTTTCAATGCTTGCATCACATTCGGCGGAGGTTGAGCTTCCGCCTTCATCGCCATACCCGGTGGATGGGGACTACCCAAGCCGCCGATTTGCGACACCGGACTCGGTGCCGCCGAAGGACTCATGCCACCGGGCGTTCCAACGGGACCGACACTGCCCGGACCGACCATGCCTCCGCCGGCGCCTGCACCAGCGGATCCCACTGAACCGACACTTCCCGGGCCGCTTATTCCACTGGGACCGATTCCACCGGCTCCCGCACCCATTCCATTCGGTCCAGCGGGACTCAAAGCTCCCGCCGAACTGGCCGGCCCACTGGATCCTGGCAAAGTGCTTGCACTACTCGATACCAGCGGTTGCGATGGAGCTCCTACTCGTGTCGTGTTCATTACTGCCATACGACGCCGTAACAATTGCTGCTGTTGTAGCCTGTAAAACAAAACAAGTCCAACTTTAGAATCACCCTCTTCCAACTCCAACCATAACCTCGAACCCACCTTTGCTGTAGCTGTTGCTGCTTCAGCTTGTGCTTGATGTTCGGGCAGAACGGTACCAAGCACTTAGCCTCCTGGCAATGCTTGGCATGGTAGCAGCACAGCGCAATGAGCTGCTTGCAAATTGGACACCCGCCGTGAGTCTTCCGCTTGCAGTGCTTCGTATGTTGGACCACTCGTTTCATCTTCTGACAGCTCGGCAGGCGACAGTTGGCGTCGCGACACTGGCAAGCGTGCACCAGCGATTGAATGCACCGTTGGATCGACTGCTTCCGGGCTTCCTGCGGATTGGTTTGCTTGATATCGGTCGGCGATGAACCGTCGTCCAGATCGAAGCCGAGCCTCTCCATCTTGTGCGGATGGCCAATCTTGTCCTTGCACGTGAGGCACAGATCGAAGTCCTGGAAATGCGTAATTGAATGAAAATGCCCACAAACGGAAACAGGAATGGCAACTTACGTCACACACGGTGCAATGGTAGCGCGTCTCGACGTGGTTCTTGCAGTTGTTGCAGGTGTAGACGAACTTGTCCTGGCCCTGGTTGTGCAGTTCGTACAGCATGCACAGCGTACTGAACTGGGCCCGGCGAAGCGACGAAAACTCAAAGTGCTTGTCGCGGGCCATCGTGAGGAACGCGTCCCGGCCGTCCATCAGGTCACAGTTGATGAGCGGATCCGGATCTTGGATGGGCTGCATGAGTGATAGAAGAGGAGATTGGAACGCTTAGATTTGGTGGATTCAAACCAGAGATTGGAAAGGCGCATTTCATCCAAACATGTATTGACTGGTGGGTCGAACTTTAGTACAGTTATGGACTTAAATGAGGGGGTTAGAAGGAAAGGGGTGTAAGTGACTGATCGATTCTCTTCATCGACTTTCTCTGTTGATAGCCACAGCTTTATTAATAGATTTTGCGCTATTTCTGCCATAATTTGATAAAGGAGGTTATCATCTAGCATCCAGAATGGCACACGAATCAAGGAATGAGTTTGCAGCTGAATTATTAACGAAAGAGAAAGTCGATGAAGAGAATCGATCAATGTCACTTACACCCCTTTCCTAGAAGGAAATTAGCATAAAGCTTTATTAAGGAGATTTTTAGCGAACTGGCTGGTTAATCTCCAAAAGTTTTCTATAGATGTCTAAGATCGTCAAAATTGTTCTACCCCCAAGATATTGAGATTAAACTAAATTTATTTAAAGTCTTAGATCCCGAAAATTTTCTAAAGAATTTAAATGTTCTTCAAAGTTTGCCCTGTAGGCCTGGTGAAATTCCAGTTTTTTTCCCGCTTAAAATCTCGAAAATTTCCCGGTTGGTAATTCAGCAAGGAACGAAAATATTCAATGACTAATTTTTTTCAACGTGATTCAAATACCGTGCCGATTCAAATTTCGGACACTTAAACTCGAATTTCGGACACTTTTAAAAGTTGATTATCTCGGTCGAATATGATCCACATGTCTTGTAAATTTTAATTTTTTTTTGACTAGTGCCCTCCACGATCATCTAACATTATTACTTTGTTTCTAACTGGATGTAATATTGAATTAAAAATGAAAGTGTCCGAAATTTGAATCGTCCGAAATTTGAATCGGAACGGTACGAATCATCGAATTTGTGGAAAAATTATCTTAAGTAGCCACACAATATCGGTTGCCGATAGGGATGGCATCCGGATTATATGTAGTTATAATATATTATTTTATATTAAACGAAAATTAAATTAACGAGGCCATTCTGGAGTCCAAGATGGCAGCCATCGGGGTCAGAGAAAGTCTCAAATACCCTACAATACGGGTATTTTCGGAACGGGAATGCCGACAATCGATATTCGACGCCATTTTGGAATCCAATGGTGGACATCAAGTTTCATAAAACGTGTCAAATAACCTAAGATATGGGTATTTTCGGAACGAAGACAACGCGTGGCTGCCGAAAATCGATATCCGATGCTATGTTGGACTCCATAGGGGTTCAGAAAAAGTGTCAAATACCCTACAATATGAGTATTTTCGGAACGAGGACGACGCGTAGACGCTGAAAATCGATATTCGATGCCATTTGTAGGCTATTTAACACTTCTTTTGAAATCGGAAGCCACCATCTTGAATTTCAAGATGGCGTCGGACATCTATTTCTTTCTTCTAGATGTCAGCCCGATTCCAAAAAACCCACATTGATCGGTATTTGACAGTATTCACAGTTTTTTGAACCAAAGCCGCCATCTTGGATTTAAAGACGGCGTGACATCAATTTTCGGTATCTACGTCTCATTCCCATTCTGAAAATAATCATATTTTAGGATATTTGACACTTTTCCGCAAATCGGATTAAAAATGGCATCGGATATCGATTTCCGGCTTCTAGACGTTACCCTGATTCTAAAAAAAAAAAACGTTTGTATGGGTATTTGATAGAATTTAAAACTTTTTCTCAAACTGGAAGCCGCCATCATGGATTTCAAAATTGCGTCGGATATCGATTTCTGGCCTCTAGACGCTAGAGGTGGGTAAATTAGCTCATCTGGCTGAGCGGATCAGACCCGTCCAGCTCATTAAAGGGAGTCGATTCTTTGGGACAGCTCTTTAGCTCACCTTGAAATTATAGAAATTTTGACACAAATGTCACACGCGATGATATGATCGACATCGTGTTACATGATGCTACGCCTTTTCTCAAGCTATGCAATCCAGTCTACATACAGATTTTATTTCTGATGTAAATTCTTCAGCAGATTTGCTCTCACTATTCTCGGTTTCAGCTCCCGATCATCAGCTCAGATCTAGAGATGGGCTCTCGAGTTGTTCTATAGTCTCGAGTCACTAAAATCAGCTGATGATCCGTGGTTCATTTTTAGGAACCGCAGCTCATCAGCTCACTGATATTATAAGTCTAATGGTGTATTCAGATTTGAGCGTGCATTAGCGGAGCGGAGCAGAATTTGCGTAGGAATGAGAGAGACAACTAGTACTTCTGTGCCTCTCGTAAATTCGAAAAATCTCACCCCGCGCGTGAAATATCGCTCAGGACGGAATCCATCTTAATTCTCCAGCACAATTGCTCCCACTATTCACGGCTTCAGCTCCAGATCATCAGCTCAGATCCGGATCCGGAGCTGAATCGTGAAGAATTGAGAGAAAAAAGATCCACAGAGCTGGACGGGTCCGAGAGCTGTACTGTCAGTGAATCATTCGAGCTGGTAAGCTGGAGAGAATGATGGGAGGAAAGGTAAGAGCACATATACTGGAGGAATAACTGCAGCAATAAGAGCCGTGTACGTAAATGCATTGGATAATACCAGTAGAAATTTAAGATCGTCTAATCGTAGGTACATGTTGAATTACGCGCGCATCTTGGTTTACGCGGTGGCTGTTCAATGCGCAAAGGAGCAATGCGTGCTTTTTTGAAAAATTCCGCAATAAGTGACGAATTGAATGGTTTAGATTTGTGATGACAGAGTGCTGATGAGCTGCGGTTCCTAAAAAAAATGAACCGCGGGTCACCAGCTCACTTTAGTGAATCTGGTCTTTAGAACAGCTCGGGAGCGGATCGCCCTTCTCTACTAGACGCCATCCCGATTCCAAAAATACCTGATGGGTATTTGACAGTATTTCCCACTTAATCTAAAATCTGAAGCCATCATCGATCTGTAGACTTCATACCGATTACAAAAATATTAACATTGATGTGTATTTGACTGTATTTCCACTTTTTCGTAAATCGGAAGCCACCATCTTCGATTTCAAAATGGCGTCGAATATCGATTTTCATCCTCTAGACATCATCCCGATTCCAAAAAAATACCTTTATTGATAAGTATATGACAGCATTTCCCACTTTTTCTTAAACTGGAAGGCGCCATCTTGGATTTAAAAATGGCGTCGCATATCAATTTTCGATCTCTAGACGTCACCCCGATTAAAAAATACCCATATTGATGGGTAAACAAACCACCCGACAATGATAAATTAGACATCCACGTGCACAGATCTATGCGCATACACTTAAATGAACCGAGTGAACAATCAACAAAAGTCATAAAAACTGCACGAATTTGGATCGAACAGCTTCGCTTCAATGTATAGTAAGTTCATTTGACAATGAAAGAAGAAATTAAGGCTAGTCAAGCCAAAACAAATAGCATGAAAACTGATCGAAAGTGGTTCTGTTGATGTTGACGGGGATCTGCTCGAAGAGAAGACAGAATGACTTTCAATTGAAAGTGATGGTTGACAGCTTCATCGTCGCTTGACGATTTTCGATTGAAAGTGACTTTGTGGGGCCCTGATCTCGAGATCATGACCAGATAGAAAGTTACTGTCGTCGACAAAATTTGGATGAGATCAAAGCCTATTTCTTGGTGCATAATAGTTCAAAATTTCCTCAATACGCGGCGCTAGTATACACGTGAAATTCTCATATAAAATATGTCGAGATCCTGACCAGATAGAAAGTTACTGTCTTCAGCAAAGTTGTTCAGAAGGTCAAAGCCTTTTCGTTGGTGGAGTAGTTCAGAAAATTATCACTACGTGGCGCTAGTATATACGAAGAAATTTTCGCATATACAATAGCTCGAGATCCTGAGCAGATAGAAAGTTACTCTTTTCGGCAAACTTGTTCAGGGGGTTAAGACTTTTTGGCTGGTGGACAGTAGCCCAGAAATTTCAACGTGTACAATTCTCGCGTATACTAAGCTCAAGATTCTGAACAGGTTGAAAATTAAGAGGAAAATTACTGTCTTCGAAAAAATTGCTCATGAGGTCAATGCCTATTGCTTGGTGCACAATAGTTCAGAATTTTCAGACTCAGGTCAAAGTATTTTCTGGTTTTCTCACAAATTCTAGGGTTTAACCTCATGAACAACTTTGTTCAAGACAGTAATTTTCTATCTGGTCAAGAACTTGAGATATTTTATATGCGAGAATTTCACATGTATACTAGCACCATGAAGTGAAAAAATTCTGAACTACTGTCCACCAACCAAAATACCTTGACCTCCTGAACAACTTTGCCGTAGACAGTAACTTTCTATCTGATCAGGATCTCGAGATATAACCAATGCGAGAAGTGTACATGTATACTAACGCCACATGGCGTGAAAATTCTTAACTACTGTTTACCAGCCAAAAAGTCTTGATCAACTTTGCCGAAGACAGCAACTTTCTAGCTGATCAAGATCTCGAACTATTGAATATGCGAGAAAGGCACGTGTATACTAGCACTGCATAGTGATAAAATTCTGAACTATTGTCACCCACCAACAAAAAGATCTTGACTTCCTGAAAAACTTTGCCGAATACATTTACTTTCTATCTGGTCGGGATCTAGAGACATTGTATATGCAAGAGTTTCACATGTAAAGTAGCGCCGCAAAGTAAGAAAACTCTGAACTAATGTCCACCTGTGAAAAAACCTTGACCTCCTGAACAACTATGCCGAAGACAGTACCTTTCTATCTGGTTGGGAACTCGAGATATTTTATTTGATAATTTCACGTGTATACTGAAAAAAATTTGTTAAAGACAGTAACTTTCTATCTGATCAGGATCTCGATATATTCCATATTGTAATCAATTAATCGCGCAAAGGCTACGCAAGTCGCAAGCCGATATGTGCAAGGACTTGGACGGTAACCTTCTCACGAACGAGTGTGAGGTGATTGAGAGGTGGAAGCAGTACTATGACGAGC